TCTCTCTCTCTTTCGTTTTTCTCTCTCTCTCTTTCGTTTTTCTCTCTTCTGTTTTTCTCTCTCTCTTTCGTTTTTCTCTCTTCTGTTTTTCTCTCTTCTGTTTTTCTCTCTCTCTCTTTCGTTTTTCTCTCTTCTGGTTTTCTCTCTTCTGGTTTTCTCTCTTCTGGTTTTCTCTCTCTACTTTCTTTTCGTACCATAAACAAGGGGACTGCGTGCAGAACATTACTAGACAACAAACTTCACAAAAGTAGAATTTTTCGTTGTGCATTAGAATTATTGTTACTATTATTATTCATCCGAAAAGAAAAAGAGTTTATATATACGGTCGTTTTTCGAAGACAATAAACGTTAAAGAGTTATCGTTGGAAAAAGAATTGAAATGACTCTCTTCCTCTTTTTCTTTCTCTCTGTCACTGCTGTACCCATTACTTCTCAGTCTTTATCCTGTACTCCCGGTTTCTTCCTTAGTGGGACTGTCTGCCAAAAATGTACTATAGGATCGTACTGTTCTGATGGTAAGACTCAAATCTCATGTCCTCCAGGCAGTTATACTGATCTCTATGAACAATCTGCCTGCCGTCGATGCCGTAGCGGTTGGTACCAAATCCAAGCAGGTCAGACAAGGTGTCTCCGTTGTGGTTTAGGGCAGTTCTGTCCAAACGCTACCCAGCTGCCACAACTCTGTCCTGCAGGCACCTACGCTGACCTCTACGGACAAGTTAAATGTCGTTCCTGTCCAACAGGTTACTACAATATTCGACCGGGTGCAACCTATTGTACAAAATGCTTTTTGGACGTAGAATGTTCCAATTCGGCAGTGTCACCAAAACCGTGTGCTACTGGTTATTATAATCCACTTTATGCGCAGACAAAGTGTCGTCGTTTACCAGCTGGTGACAGAACAATTCATATACCGGGATGTTTCAATGTCAATAGCTAACCAACTATTTTCTTATTGTCTGTTATCATTTTTCAAATGTAAGAAGCTAAAGTGTATTGTTTTTATTCGTAATAAAGATTTCTAGACACTCCTGCTCTAGGCTCCTTTAGTGAAATTACATCTTTTCATGTAGTATTAGAAAAATGTCATTTTCGTGATTTAGCAGAAAATTTCGATAAAATCTATTTGGAATTTATATTTTTTATCTATTAGATTTTTCGGAATTAGTCTTCATTCAATAATTGTTGAATGTGATCGAAATTTTTCTGTTGGTCAAAAACAAGTGAGCGCATATTAATTAAAGAAAGTTGAAGATTTTCTATTTTATTCTTTAAAGTTTTTTTTTTGCCTTGTTCGAGCACTTCTTCGTAAAGCTAAGGTAAATATACATAAATTGATGTTGAAACTGATCGTCTTATTCAAACGTAAATTCGTGAGACTTGTTCAGATGTAACTGTGATTACAATTGCTCATCACGTTCAAACAATTGTCGATTCTGATTGAGTACTTGTTATGGATAGCGGTCGAATAATTGAATTTGATACACCTAGAAAGCTACTTCAAAATCCAGAATCAACATTTGCTCGACTTTCTTATATTGATCTAAGATGTGCATTGAAGACGATGGACTTCTTCCTTTTAATGATACGAGAGCGATGTGTAAAAGAAATACTAAGACATTTGCATCCTATCTGTTTATTTTGCTTACTCCTCTATGTGTATGCTAAGTATATATATATATATATAAAGAACGACTCAACATGATAAGAGGAAAAGACATACCATAGAAAGAATACAATAGGATGGAGAATACTAAAGGAGAATATCGAAACAATGTTGAAAGAGGTATGAAAAGGGAGGAGCATGTTGAAATCTTATATACGCAGTGATTGCGCTACGTAACAACTTGTTCGTCAAGCAAATGTTCAAATACCACGATAATTTGCATATGTTTTGTTTGGATCTACGAAAGATGCGCACGGAATGAGAAATGAAGATTTCAAAACAAAAACCGATCCTTTCAATCTCACCACACTCTCATTCTCACTCTGCATCCTCACACCTGGCGCCCTCAGAATCGTTGTGCGCATCTTTCAGGATTCTGTTTTGTTTATTACCGTTAGAATTTTTCGGCATATCAAAATAAAAATCTTTATTAGATCTGAAATTGTGATACATTTATAGGATTGTAATTCATTGAGATTCTAAATATTGCTTGAATTAGATAAGATCATGCTTTTTTATTTGTTCTCTATTTTTCGCGATAGTTTCTATGTAATATAAAATCATATTTATTCGATCAATGCAAAATTAAAAGCAAATAACACGAAACAATATGTCACATTATGGGAAACATAAACCGATTCGAATAAAGATGCTCTGTATTCTAGGATATGCAATACTATAAGCTGTGGTGCTTTTAAACGAGTTAAGCTTGAAAAAGAAAAGAATAGATAGTAAAAGAATAAATGGCAAATCAAAGAAGAAAAGATATAATTGTCTGTTAATAATTATTATGAAATAAATGAAATTTAACCAGCTTTAGTCAGGATTCTTAGTGTAATATTATCAATGTATTGATTTACCATTGATTTTACGGGTGTAAGTGGCACTCCACTTGCTTGCAGATCACCCAACAAAGATATTCTCAAATCAATCGAGAACTGTACACAACTTTTGACGCCATCGAAAATGTCTGCTTATTCAGTTGAATCTTTGATGTCAGCAAGTGTTTGTAAAGAACGTTGTCCAAGTCTCTGATTTGCATTGATTAATGTCATTAATGGATTCAAATAAAAACTAGTTAGATCCTCTCGAATTTGAATAGCTTGACAGAATAACACAATAGGAGGTATCAGTGTTGTAGTTATTGGTAAACAAGTAATCGAGGCGAAAGCAATTGTCATACCGGTATTAGTAGGATATGACGACACCCTCACCCTCACTCTCAAGGTGCCAGTTGTGGGTGTGGGGTGTGGGTGTGGACGTGAGGTGTGGGTGTGGACGTGAGGTGTGGGTGTGGATGTGGATGTGGGTGTGGGGTGTGGGAGTGTGGGTGTGGGGTGTGCGTGTGTGGGAGTGGATGTGGATGTGTGGGTGTGCCTGAAAAGAAGATTGAAACCGACACCGACTCGTACATCCATACCCCCGCACCCAGACCACACCCACTCATATCCGCACGCACACACACCCAGGCCCACACTCAATATTTGCATTCCCATTGCCGCTAAAAGCCCTCGCAGCAATCTTTTCATTCCATAAATATGTCGATCAGTTGAACTATATCCCCATCGATTTGTATGGTAGAATTTTTTTCGACAATTTTGAGACGGGCACACTGAAAAATTTGTGGTATTGATCTGTACGAGGAGATACCTTGTCGGCAATCACAACCACCTTAGGATTCTCCACGATACTTGTCTCCAGAAGAGTTCGATGAAACTGTTCTATTTGCCTATCGAACAAATGTATTTCGTATGGGTGCATGTGCCTTTGGTCTCCTTGACAGTGAAACCGATCGCTTCCCAGCAAACTGGGAAGCAACTGTTCGATTGCATAAGGTAACGTCCCGACTAGTATCTCATCAGCCCGAAGATCGACATGCGAACGTTGATGAGTTCCCTCGTGACTAGCACAAAGCTCTAGAAACATTCGAAAAAGACAATATCTAAGATAATAGATATTTTTCAACGAATAACACTGATCGGTTATTCGATTGTTTCTGAACAAGAATAAATTAAAAACAAAACTTGGATGAGATCAGCGTAATATCAAATTTCTTTCCATATTATTGCTATGAATTATAAAACTAATTAAGAAAAACTCTAGAACTGGTGTATCGACAAAGTATTTGCGCTCCTTCAAACCGAGTTTTGATGCCATTGAACAACATTCTAACAAGTTCTTGTTGAATCTTATACAAATACGACGTTGAATTCAAGATTTGAGAGCAATCGAATAGAACATAAATTAATGCTTTCAATAAATTTCATCATAAGAATTCGATTTTGAATTGAAATTCAGAAGTGAAGGGTTAACATTTATGTACTAAACGAAAGTAAATATTCAATCGTCGAAAGCTATTGTCATAGTGTTGAACAATGATTTTATTATATATTTTGATAAATCACAACATTTCATCGTTATTATATAATATGAAACTTATACATAAATCACTTAAACTCCTTTTAAATCACAAAATCACAGATCATTGTTTCCCCTTTGTTGGACCAAGTAGTATAATATGTCTATACAAGACGGATATTTGCATGACTATGCATCTCAACTTAGTCATTGAACTCTACGCAATCGTCTAGAAAGATCATTTAGTTCAGTTAATATTGTTTTTAACGCTAGTGTTTTGACATACTCACAACATTATACCACATTAACTTTAACTTAAAAACTCACTCACTATGAAAAATCCCTCTCTTTACGTTTGAAAAGGAATATTGAATTTTCGCTAATATAAGCACAATTGCAAATTCCTCATGATTGAACTATTCATGGTCGTTGAAACTCCTTACAACAGTTAAATTGGCTATCAAAAATACGACGACATAACAAAAAAGTGTCGTAAATTAATTTCTTAGAGAGGCATTAAATAAAAAATGTTTTTGTAGAAATGATTCATCATTATAGATAGTTATGCTTTAAAGATAATACACGTAGGCACTAGACTAATCATATAAATGGTCAAAAGTCATTAATAGAGTTAATTTATTTGAACTGATTAATACAGTTCTGCACTGTTCAAAACCACACTACCATCAGCTCCACCAGTAACTAACACTTTCCCATTCATTAATACGGATGCTGTGTGGCTAGCTCGTGCATGATTCATGCTATCAATAGTTGTCCACGTTCCTGTTGAAGGATCATATAATTCTGCACTATTCAGAGCATTATTATCAAATCCAGCAGTAACTAACACGTTCCCATTCGTTAATACAGATGCTGTGTGACTAGCTCGTGGTTTAATCATGTTAGCAGTAAGTGTCCATGTTCCTGTTGAAGGATCATACAATTCAGCGCTATTTAAAGTATCAAAAGAGTTATCTCCACCAGCAACTAACACTTTCCCATCCGTTAATACGGATGCTGTGTGGCTAGCTCGTGGCATAATCATGCTAGCAGTAGGTGTCCACGTTCCTGTTGAAGGATCATACAATTCAGCACTATCTAGAGCATCAAAATTGATATCTCCACCAGCAGCTAACACTTTTCCATTCGTTAATACGGATGTTGTGTGGCTAGTTCGTGGTTTAATCGTGTTAGCAGTAGATGTCCACGTTTCTGTTGATGGATCATACAGCTCAGTACTATTTAAGACATCAACACTAATATGTCCACCAACAATTAACAGCTTTCCATTTGTTAATATGGATGCTGTGTGTCTACCTCGTGGCATAATCATACTAGCAGTAGGTGTCCAAGTTTCTGTTGATGAATCATATAACTCAGCACTATTCACCCAATTGTCACTACTATATCCACCAGTAACTAACACTCTTCCATTTATTAATACGGATGCCGTATGTTCACTTCGTGCATGATTCATACTACTAGTTTTAGACCATTCTAGAGCAAAACATTTGGATGTTTTTATTCTGGAAGAATATTTAGCGTGAAACCCTCAAGATCATCTAATCATACGCAGCTATTTTGAGATTCTATTAAATGAAAATTGTTTAGTACTTTAATACAAAGTTTTTAGAATTTTTGAGGCTACAAAAACTCTTAAATTCGTTGGAATAAATCGTTTATGATATAGAACGATAGTAGGTTTTGCAATGTTGATAAAGAATTGTATTTGTGGAAAACAGATGACCTAGGTTTGTATTTTCCACCTGTCATTACATTATTTACCAGAACTAAGGTCCTTTCGATTACATGCAAATGTTTTTAGCAGAAGATTGTCTTTATACCAAAACACGAAAGTTATCTATACTGAAATAACATAATTATACGAAACATTCTTTAATTAAATACTGTGTATCTGTGAAGCATAAACAGAAAAAAACATTAATATTTAGAAAAAAAAAACTCTGTTTTGCATAAGAATGTTCTGTATGATTTTGAGGACTTAGCGGAAGTAAACATAGCAATTCCTGTCATACTACGACAAGATAAATATTAATTAGGAAATCATAAGAATTACTCAGGAAAATCATCGGATTCTGGAAGCAGGAGCAGAATGCGCATATCGTGCGGTCGGCTATGCTCGGTTCTGGTTGGTTCTCTTCCGAAACGGAAAAGACTGGCCACCAAATCCGAACATCATATATCTGCTTCCAAGATTTAACTATTTTCCAGAGTTTTCCGATTGAAACTGGTTCGTACGCTGCCATATGGGTGTACGATAATAATAATAACCGGTTAGAAACTGCGAACAGTAACGTAACGAAACAAATAAATAAATACGTAGACAATGAATAATGCAGTCACAATTTATTATTAGTCATGATTTTCAAGAACGAAGTTTGTTTTTGAAAATTCAGAAAAAAAAATATGACAGACGGGCGATTCAGCTCGATGACCTGTTTGGGCCTCTGGTCGGAATACGGTTCTATGCTAGAATACGTTTAGATAACTTTAAACGTTGTATTTTAGACGAAGTTAGACGCATTATCAACAATAGACATGTTCAGATTAATATCAAAGGAAAACGGACACACACATTTCAAGTTAGTAGGGTGTTTCTATGATATTTTATATCAATTTTCGAGAGACTCATCTTGATTCTCGAAGAAACTCGTTTCAAGTTCCGGAGAAAGTTATTGCGACTTCCAAAGATTTGTCAAAGACACAAAGGGAACATTACCCTGACCAATGATACGGGGCATGTATTCATTATAATCATGATGCCTTGATATCCAATGGAATGAATCTCATATGAATAACTTGAAAATTAAATGAGTTTCTTGAAAACTAATAGAAACTATAAAATCCGAAAGTTTGGACATCTGAAAATATTGCATTTCGGACGAGTAAAAACGTGATCGCTTTAAAGATGTTCTAACGCTTTGAAACGTATTACGATTCCGAATGTGATCATAAGAGAGGATATTTCTTCGATGTATGAGGTTTCAATATACTCTCTATTTGATATGTTAATCCCATATATTTGTAAATGTTTTTGGGACACATCTGTTTTTCTACTCAAAATTTGTCCAAAGTGATCTATTAATTAATTATTGATTAATCTTGCATGAACCAATAGTGAAATGTTTCCACTTTCCCGAAAAATAAAAAGTAGCTGTCAACGATGTCGGTAGCCAAAGTTATGATGAAAATACTGAAACAAGTTACTTTCCAGTAGATTTAGGACAGTTGATAACATAATTATCTGAATTCAGGTAGAGTAGGTCTTGGCAATCTTTAGATTTTAATGCATTGGCATAGTATCTGATTTCAAAGATTTGGAGCCTTGGAAGTCCCTGAAATTCTACAAAAATGCTATAGAATTCTAAAGATTCATTAGATTTTCATCTCATTTTGAAAAACAAAATAAACTTCGATACTGACGAAAAATAATCAGCACGAGGATTAGTAATATTTCGTATTTTCTTATGATAAAGACTGAATCATTCATGAAAAGATCATTGATTCTTTCGATGTAACATTTAGCGAGATGCAAAATATCGTCTGATATAAAACAGCATATATCTGATTTAAAAGTAGCATTTTAAGAGATTAAGAAACGTTATTCCAATGCTTACTTCGCTGTTGACTAGTAGTCGTAATTATTATTGACATTGATGTTGTTGTCGCTATCGATGGTGGTGGTGTTACGGTGATGGTTTCTGGACTTTTGGTTGCAAGAATAACGAATCTTAGCACCAGAGAGAGGATAATTGCAAGAATTGTTAGAATAATAAAAGAGATGAAAATGATCTTAATCCAACGGTGATACCACCATTTTCTTGGTTTAATATTTCTAGTAATAGACTCAGTGTAAGCCTGATTATTATGCATATTATATTCCTCAAAAATACTCAAACTAAAAAAAAGAACGAATTATTATATGAAAATGTTTTATATTTGTTTATCACTGTCACAAGAGCAAAAAAGAAATTCGTAACATTATCTCCATCCAGTGCAAAAGGTATTGCTATGCTCTTATCTTTATGTAATAAATTTTACGTGTAAGCACGATAGAACAAAACTATGCATCGTCTTCTGAGTTTTCTTACGTCAGATTTCCTTATCATAATGTTACTTTTTTTATTTAGCACATATCACAATCTGAAGAACTACCATCATCACTATGCATTGTAAACACCTCTTGTTTTTCGATTTTTTCGTTAAAAGATATCTCTCTAAATGAAACGTTTGAATTGATTATGCAATTGCCTACAAGATATAACGATGATCATATTTCTATCGAATAAGGACAATAATTCCGAGCTCAAATTTGCTTAATATGATAAGCAGCGCATCTATTGTTTGCTAATTTTTTATATACGTGCATGAGCAGATCAGATTTGAATCAATCATGAATCAATGTTCACTGGAAAAATTCATTTTTTCATTCTAAATATCTATTTTTATTGAAAAAATCAATATAACAATATTACTAATCGATCTAGGACACATGCATATTTCTACCAATCCACATCGATAATTTCGGTGCCTTGACATCAATACTTTGAACACGAAATGATCCATTGAATCGACGTAATTCGTCTTCGAATAAACTCGATAATCACGATTATTTTCTAATGGTGACAAACAAACATTTATAGTTGATAAATTATAGAAATGTACGTAAGCACTGGCGCTAATAGAGGAAAACAGTTTAGAAATACTTGCTCCATAAACTATCATTTCATCAAGGTAGTAAGGAATTGTGTGGGTGTGGCTATGGCTGTGGGTGTGAATACTCTCGAAATCAGAACCTATGCGCACACCCACACCCTTAGAACCAAGACTGGCATACGCCCAGCGTCAATTGACACCTGTTCTATCTTCTTCTTCGTTATTTGGAATTCCTGATTTTTATCAAGTTACATTAAAACAGAAAAATTTTTTAATTTTCTGATACATTGGTTTGTCGAAGGCAAAGAATGTTACTATTTGGTAGTGTTACTCAATTGGAATTATTATTCGATAGCTCCATCATTTTGATGGATGGAGCCTTTACTTGTACACCTCTATTCTTTGACCACGTTTTTACTATACATGCTGTGAAATTTGAAACAAGTAATATAATATTACATTGTTTATTAAAATTATTGTTTTATTTTCTTACGCAGGTTTTCCATGTGTCTTTGGTCTTCTTCCAAATCGTAAAAAAACGACGTATCAACAATTGTTTAAGATTTTGAAAGATTTGGCTTTTTCCATAAATCGTATAGTTAAACCAAGTCGTATAATGAGTGATTTTGAAATAAGTCTGATTCCAGCTGTAGCTAATGAAGTAATTAATACTCAGCATTTTTATCGAAATAATCAATGTTTTTAATTTAGTTTCCTGAAGCGCTACATAGTGGTTTTTTTTCATTATACACAAGCCATTTATCAACGAATACAAACTTTAGGATTGACTATAGCTTATTCACAAAATGGTGAAATTCGTACTTGTTGTCGTAAATTCATGGCATTGGCGTTATTACCGATCGATCAGGCAGAATCATCATTTTATATTTTACGTAAAACAGCATCAGCTACGGTAAAACCAGATTTACATCAACTGTTTCTTTATTTTGACAATCGATGGATCACGATTGTACCACTGAATATTTGGAACATTCATGGATTTCATCATAGAACAAACAATATTTGTGAAGGTATACATGTTTAAACTGTGTATGCTTTTTTTATACCTTCTTTTAGGTTTCCATAATCCGTTAAATCAAAGAATTGAAAAAGCACATCCAAATATGTGGACATTCATCAAATGTCTTCAAAATGAAGAAAATTGATCTCGTCATCTTCTTCTTCAAGTGAATGCTGGAGCTCAAGCACGAAAAAAAAGCTACAACACGTTTGATTCAAAAACGTATCAGTACTCTCAATGATCGATACAAAGATGGCGAAATCAATATTGATCAATTATTAGATGGCTTGTCATTCACCATAGCAAAGCAAAAAAAATAAACATTTATAGTAAAAAAAACATATTATATTATTTATTTTTTCTTGGATACTTATCATTCATTATTATTTATTTATCTTTCTGTACTTTCTCCATTCTTGAATTATTCAAAAACCAGTGGAGCACGTTATATTTTGAAACGGGTAATAGAAGGACGAATTTCAAAAGCATCAGCATCATTCTCTTCGTCTGAGTGTTGTTCATTTGTTGTAATTATCGGCATCAACAGTGTGATTCGAAGAGACAGGAAAAATGTTCTTGTATGAGTCTAAGTTTTGGCCAATCTCGGTCTTAACTCCCGTATCTTACAATCACTCGAGATGAAACTTTTTATCATGAAGATCGGAATGTGTATTGAAATGAAAAAGATTAGTATATAAAAAAAATTGGATTACTAATGGACAGCGATAAATGAGAAAGAAAAATCAAGAGTAAAGAAATTTAGCGAAAAAGTTAAGGAAAAAGCTTGTTTACGTTTTCCCTGATGGCGATGGTATTTGATACAGATGTCAAGAACTTGACATGTGAGTATTTCGATTCCTAAAAGGGAAAAAATATCCGATTAATTTAAGAATGGGCTGCTCGAAATCACATACTTGATTTATTACTCTATTCATGTATTTCTCTCACTTCGAGACAATGGTGAATTAAGCTTGCAAATATGATCTAAGATCACATATCAAATGAATAAATCTAACAAGGATCTTCTTCAATTATTTTCCTCATTTCGATGCTAAGATTTTGAGTCGGTAATATGATCGAAAGTCACATGTGAAATGAATAATTCTAAAGAGGATTCTTCAACTACTTTGCCCACTTCGAAGCTGACATTTCAAGTTGGTAATGTGATCGAAGATCTCACATTAAATGAATAGCTTTAAATAGCATTCTCTTCAACTGTTTTCCTCACTTCTTAGCTAAAATTTGCAGCTGGTAATATTATCGAAGATTACACATAAAACGAATAACTCTAAGTAGAATTCTCTTTAACTATTTTGGTCGCTTCGCAGCTAAGATTTTCAGTTAGTAATATTATCGAAGATCACACAGTAAATTAATAATTCAAACAACCAAGATTCTCTTCAACTATTTTGTTCACTTCGAAGCTACGATTTGCAGTTGGGAATATGATCGAAGATCGCACATCAAATGAATAACTGTAACCAGGATTCTCTTCAACTATTTTGTTCACTTCGAGGCTATGATTTGCAGTTGGGAATATGATCGAAGATCGCACGTCAAACGAATAACTGTAACCAGGATTTTCTTCAACTATTTTCCTCATTTTGAAGCTAAGATATGTGGTTGGTAATATGATCAAAGATCTCAGATTAAATGAAGAACTCTAAATAGGGTTCTCTTCAAATATTTTGCTCAATTCGAAGCTACCATTTGTAGTTGGTAATATTATCGAAAATCTCAGGTTAAACGAACAACTCTAATTAGGATTTTCGTCAATTATTTTGTTCACTTCGATGCTAAGATCTGTAGTTGGTAATATAATCAAAGATCTCAGATTGAATGAAGAGCTCTAAATAGGGTTCTCTTCAACTATTTTGCTCAATTCGAAGCTACGATTTGCAGTTGGTAATACGATCGAAAATCTCAGGTTAAATGAATAACTCTAATCAGGATTCTCGTCAACTATTTTGTTCACTTCGAAGCTACGATTCACAGTTAGTAATATGATCAAAAATCGCACATCAAATGAATAACTGTAACCAGAATTTTCTTCAACTATTTTGCTCAATTCGAAGCTATGATTTACAGATAATAATACGATCGAAGATCATAGCTGAGATGAATAACTCTAAGGATCAGGGTTCTCTTCAACTATTTTGCTCACTTTAAAGCTAAGATCTGTAGTCAGTAATATGATCGAAGATCCCAGGTTAAATGAATAATTCTAAACATGGTTCTCTTCAACTATTTTGTTCACTTTGGAACTAAGATTTTGCAGTTGGTAATATGATCGAAAATCGTACATCAAATGAATAACTCGAATGAAGATTCTCTTTAATTATTTTGTTCACTTCGAAACTAAGATTTGTAGTTAGTAATATGATCGAAGATCATACCTGAAATGAATAACTATAAGGGCCAGGGTTCTCTTCAACTATTTTACTCACTTCGAAGCTAAGATCTGTAGTCAATAATATGATCAAAGATTCCAGTTTAAATGAATAGCTGTAAGCATGGTTCTCTTCAACTATTTTTCTCGCTTTGAAGCAAAGATTTGGAGTTGATAATATGACTGATGATCACGCAGTAAATGAATAATTGAAACAAAGGTTTTATTGAAATATTTTGCTTACTATAAAACAAAGGTTTTGAGGTGGTAAGTCGATCATAGAACGCATGACAAATGAATAACTCTAAATAGATTTCTCGTCAACTATTTTGCGCAGTTTCATGAACATGGTCAACATTGGACTGCTAAATACAATCACATTGTAAATAACCAAATGGTAGGCTTGTTAACCAACACATCGGTTAATCCATCAGAGCTTCGCTGCGCTTCTGCAAGATCACTGTTTCTTTCTGCATTTTGTTCGTCTTCCGATGCTATGCATGTTGTTGATGGCAATACCAAGACCATGTTTGGGCTATTGATGTTGAACGATTGTAAATTGGTTTGGGATGGTTGTGTTGTTGGTAAGTGTGTAAACGTCTACGAGACTGCACATTTGTTCTCGTTCCTATATATACATCGAGCGCAAAAGTAATACGCAAAAAACATTTGTCACTATCGAAATCATTGAAGCATAGGTATGTTCGATTATTATACCGCCCGCAGCAGCGAGAAGATATTTTTTTCCTCTGTAGAGAGAATGACGATTTTCGACGTTTTGATCGTCTCACGTCATCATCGAAGTGGGGAAAAGCCCATATATACACTCCGATGGGTGACGTGTCATCATTCTCAATATTGTTAGATAACGTACGTAGATTATGTAGTCATTTTGAGAAGGGGATTAGATGCATTGAGCGAATTACATAGTTGGATAGAGTGAATGTTCGTAATAGCGATGAAAAAAAATGACTCATGTTGATTGAGTTATTGTGTTGTTGTTTTACATTCGATCGACAATATTTTAATAGATGTATCATTCTTGAAATCCAGTTTTTCAAATAGCATAGCAATATATTTTCATTAATAAGAAGTAGCTGAGAAAGTAACGGTGTCCGACAACTAAATCAATCGAAAAATAGACTGACATATCTACCTTGAAAAGACAAATACAATCTGCTTGTACCCCACGTTTGCTTTTTCAGCAATCGATTATTTTATCGAGAGTTAGATAAATTTTAAAATAATAATTTATAGTGACTTATGCCAAAAAAATAATTTTAAGAAATGCAGATTTTAATTTATCAATGCGTTTCATGTTCTTTATTAAAATATTAAAATATTCATCAGGGCTCTGCATTACATGTATAAGCACAAGATAAAAAACAAAAAAAAATATCTATACATATGTATACATATGCTGATGTAAAAACAAACAAAGCATACAAGATCAAAAGAAAGAAAGAGAAAAAAAATAAAAGATAAGGAGAACAGAGGAAAAGAAAAACACATGTGACTCTTTGAATAACTATAATAATACTCACTTAAACAACTGTAATCATTTATGTAATATCCAAAAGGTTTTTGTTTTCCATCATTTTGATTGTAAGAAGATGCTCGATTATGCTCATCTTAAGTGACACATTTTAATTTCTATTCGTATGAATTCATTTATATTCAAATTTTTAGAAAAAGGATTTTTGTAAAATTAATGAAACCAACCTATTTTGGTTAAATTTAAATATCTTATATTGCAGCAGATATAATTCTTCATTGTAAGTTACATATTTTAATTTTAAACAAGATCAGATTAGATGAGTATTATTTATTGCGTATTAGCTGTTGTTGTAAGTTTCTAACATTACGAGCACCTAAGACCGATTTTATTTCATTTATTGGAGACTCAATAAAGTATTTGTCCCAGAGAGCATGAAATTTTGTCGGAAATGTTTTCATATTTAAACAATAGGAAAAATGAATGAACATTGTTTTACCATAATCAATTGAAATTTTTTCTTTCATATACACATAGATTATCTTTTTTCGTAATGTATTATAATTTTTTGTCGGTAATGGCTGATTAATATTATATTTTTGAAATACTCGATTGCATTGTTTCTCTATAAAATTTATCAGGATATTTATTTAATAATAAAGCCATTCCTAATTTTTCACGTTCATTTGAATATATTTCGAATGTTGAATAATATTCAATAGCACGAATTAACATAGCAAATGGAATATTCTTTTTCATATGTATAGGATGAACGCTATTAAATAGTAAATAGTATGGCTCGTAAGATAGTTTATGATAAACTTCTGTAAATAATTCACCATTTATATTTTCTATATATAAATCAAGAAAATTTGTTGAATAATCAACTTCAGCTTTTAATTTAATGTATGAATCGAATTTATTCTATCGATCAATTTTGTTTCGATAAATGTTGAGTAGGCCAGTTGATGGTAATAAATATATCATCGATATATCGTAAATACAATCCACCACCATTGTTAATTTGTTTAACAATATCTTGGTTCAAAAAAGAACATATAACAATTAGCAAATGTTAATGTTAATGGAGAACCCATAGCACCACCATGTACTTGATGATAATATTTATCATTATAAGAAAAATAATTATTTTGTATCACAAATCAACGTAAACGAATAACAATTTCAACATTTAAACCATTTATTTCTTTTATATTAAAGTAATCTAACATTTTTTTAATTGATAAAATCCCTTCTGTTTGTGGTATCATCGTATAAAGATCTAGAACATTCATTGTACATAGTAAAGTTTCTTGACGTATATTCTGTTTTGACCATTCATATAACTGTTTAATTAAATCAGAACCAGAAATAACAGTTGTATTTGATGCGCCATTTTATCAAATAATGGTTGAAATAATTTGTCAAGGGATTTTGATATTTTCATAGTTGGATGTTTGAGACCAGAAACAATTGAACGAAGTGGAGTGCCTGATTTATAAAGATGAGTTAATTCTACTTCATTTGGTTTCATGCTGTATTGTTCATATTGCTTTTGTGTAATCCAATTAGTTAATCTTAAATTTAATAAATATTTATTTGTACGTTCAATTAATTTTGGTAGTGGACCATTTTGATGTAGACATTCATACACTTCAGTTTTTTCATATATTCATCGGGTTTTTTATGATAATCTTGTAATTTACCTAAATGAAAAACTTTAGATTTATCTGTTTTTGAAGAATTATACTGCTAGTAATATATAGGCTTTATAGAATAACAACGTATATTCTTTAATATGAGCACACCTAAGTCTTTACAGATAAATGGTTTTTTAATTGAATCAAACGCAGGTGAGGTTTTAATATTGAATCATATGCCAGACTAATTCTTAGCTCAATCTTTATATATATATTTTTAGTTTTAAACCTTCTGTGTTGGGCACATAATCATATTTAGAATATTTTAAACTCGTATGCTGCTGAATATTGTATATTTATCATTCATTAAAAGAGAATTACTAACCTTTAACAATGTCGGATATTATTTGACAATTTTCTTTACGATACCAGTCGATTAAATTGATATTTTGCCGAATAACATTTTTTATTTCAGTTGCAACATTAAATACAATTAATGCGGCATTAATTTGTCTAAATGGTCGATTACATGAACATACATCAGAAGTTTTTATCAACTTTGAGAAACACGATGAGCAAAAAACTTAACTATTGAAATCAAATTCAACAGCTAATAACTTCCATAATTCATTTTCAGTTGTTGGTAACTCTTCATCGAATCGAAGGTGTTGAAGAAGCTGAAGCAAATGAATTGTATCACTATGGTTTAAATTTGCTCTTCTGATAAAATTTTCTATTAATACAGAGTTCATATGAACCTCTTTGTCATCCTTACAAGCTTCATGAGCGAAATCAGATGAACTTTACTCATCATGATTGAATGGATATAAATCAATTTCATGTGTATCATGTGTTTCAAGATAATATTTCGATGAAGATTTATTTTGCTCTATTTTTTTCAATAGACAATTATTAAGTGTTAAAAAACCATATATAGCACCTGCACTACATGTATCAAAATAATCTTCACATTCACCAGCAATATCAATATTATCTGTTCCATCATGATTTTCGTCAAATTCTTCTTCATCTTAAACAAAAAAAGTTTTAAGGATTTTACATTAAAAAAGTGACGCCTATGAAATCAAATTGAAATTTACCTGAATTACAAACATCATTTTCTGTTTCATTTGAGACTAATGTGATACGAACGTTTGGTTTGCAAAGTTCACGTCGTTTTCGACGATATTTTAACTGATGTTTACGATCGAAATTTCGGCATTCAAAGAAAATAATAATGCACGTTAAGCAATTAAGAAAAATGTATTGAATAAGATTCCTTACGGCGTTCAATATTTTTTCCATTATGATTCAACACCAATTGATTTTCAAACTGTTTGTTTATCAATAGAATAAGAATGTGTGCTTTGAAAAATTATCAAACGATGGTCAAAAGATCTCGTACTAAGTGTTGATGAAGATGAAATCTAAATGTAAACTATGAGCTGAAAAAATTGCATAATCATTACGATATTAAATAATTTATACGTAATTAATGCAATAAAAATTTCATAGTTGTTAGGTTCTATTGAATTCCTTGCTGAGAAAAAATATGCTTCTATTTCAACATGTAAAATTATTTTTCTCTGAAATATAGTTGCTTTTGAAAAAGGTGCAAAATCATCTCTAATTGTGCTGACATCTAGATACATACAAATTTCATATGATTCATAAAACATTTTTTTAATTTTTAGAACTTGATATATTTTTTTTGTCGAAATCTTATCGAACAAAGTTTTTCCAAACATTGAAGTGAATTTATTTCAACTATCTACTACACAAATTTTTTATCATTGTAATAATAAATTACCAACGACTCTTTATGTAACTCTCTTTGTTTTTTACTGGTTAATGATAACAGCCAATCACAAAAAAGAAAATGTAACACTCGTACGGGTGACGTACGGTAATAATACTTAGTACGCATGATGTAACGCGCACTAATAGCGTACGAGTAGACATGGGGATGAACATACAATTACTCGTAGCATATCGTAAGCGCAGATATAAATTCTACATGATGGATATTCTAAAAAATGAAGAAGCTTTTTTTCCATTTTATATTGCTCTAGTGGTCAAACCGTGTTGTTCAAGAGATGTGTATTGCTATCAAAGTTCTTCGAGAAGTGGACATTTGGTGCTCGTTTGATTTCGGCATAATTTCATATGTCTGGAAAGAAAAGACATCACAATCTGTAGCTTTGTTTCGAGTTTCATAACAAATAAATTTAGCAAAGTTGCTTGTCTCCGAGAATATCAATGCATCTAAACTTGTCGAGAAGTCTTTTCTTCGTTGTAGAAAACCGTAAATTTTTTGATTCGAAACGTTTTCTGAAGTACAATACATTGATACGTCTGTACGACATCCATTTCACTCATTACGGAAATTTACTACCGCTTTCTGTTATCTATGTAAATTCTTTTATCATTCATCGATGTAACAACCATATGTTAACTATTTTGTTGTTACACGCGCAAACAGATTACGTGTTGTTTAATCACAGCAAATGCTTTTCTTCGTTTCTTGTGGCCTACACGTCGTTTTTGTCAACACACCGTCTTTCTTTTTTTTTTTCTCCTGTACACTTGACTGCGTCTCCTCGCAAAAAAAAATCGATACAGATAACTTAGCACACGTGTATGCACAAGAAGAAAAACGAAATCAGGTAATGTAAACGCGTTTTTTAGCCATTTGATAATTTTGTTCAGTTTGCTGAATTTATATAAAATCTTAGGAAATTTCTTATTTTGCTATAGTTGGATAGAGCATCGCTTACTCTACCGAACTACATAGTTTTCATTTTGTTTACTTTGCATCTTGTCCAAAAATTTCTTAAATTTCAAATAGCAGCCAAAAAAGATTTTTCTACAAGCAATTTTTTCAGACCATTTGTTGGGTAAGCTTTTCTACGACTACTATTTACTGGGAGTACTGAAACTTCTTATTTTTATACATAATGATGAACCGTTCATTTCTCTATCGAACTATATATTTTTGGGAACATAAGTTTTGGTTAGTAAAATTAATGAAATAGCCAACAAAAGATATACAAATGGTTAATACTAAAATAATCAATAATTAATTATAAAATGGTCGGCTTTTTATAAATAAGTACCAGTAAAAAATTCAAATTTATCAATAAAAATGCAGATTTTATCAGTAGAAGAAATAAGTTTTATTCATACAAAGATTAATTTAGTATAAGAGAAATAAATTTAAATAAATAAAATAACACAGAAGAAATAAGAAGAAATCCAAAAGAACATTAAACATAAATAGAAATAGAGAAAAAGAAAATTCAACTATTGTACTAGCAAAGCAGGTTTAGGCTTTGCTGGCCTTCTTCGTTTTTGTTTTCTCACCGATCGGCACTGTGTTTGCTGGTGGTGGTTTGCAATATTTCAAACAAATAACCATATTAACAAAGCGTTTGCATATATAATTCTTAAAAAATGCGGGACAATTGCATTTTGATTTTTTCCAATCTGAATCATTCTCTAAGTCTATACACCAAATACCAAATGAATTTTGAATTGATTAAATGTTGTCCATCTTTTATTTTTATATTTATTGAAATCAGCTTTTGTGATGGATTATAAATCACGACCTGGTATATAATATGTTTCCACAAAATCATTGGAAATACAGATTACATCTTTTGTTGATTTAGCTCATTGACATTAATGAAGTCCATAATGCTAAACATATTATCGGTTCTGTAGCAAATATTTTTGCGTTATTTGAAGTTATTGTCGCAAATCTTGATAAAACATGACGTTCCCTAAACATTCCATCATCTTTGATTGTTGCATTAATTGTCTCTAAAAAGTTGCTTGTAGTTGGTGCGTACAGTTGTATACCTTCAAACCAACCATCATTTTTCTTTAACGCAAAATTTTGATTTCTTTTGTTTTAGAGTTCTTTTATTTTCATTTATCCCATGATTTTCTTTCACAACTTCTTCATCTGATGTGTGGCTTTCATATTGTTATAGCAGATCAATACTAAACCATATTGTTTACTTTCCACATGACAACTATATATATGAACGACCTAGGAGAAAATCAACGACACTGCGAAGAAAACATGATAAGAAGGAGAAATACCTAAACTGTATCAAGAGAAGAGAACATTTGGAAAATACCTTAACAAGAAGAGCGAAAAAAAGTGAATCACACTATAGCACATTTCAATTTTTATACTTACCATATAATTTAATTTACGAGTTCTTAAATATATTGATATACCTAATTATTTTAAGAACTGACCGATTAAATAAAATACGGATCATTCATTTATTTTACTGATTTTACAATTATTTCACCTACTGACCATTTATTCTACTAGCCACTGAAATGGGAGCTCATATTTTTCATTGAACCTATTTCGTATCTTCATTATAGACTGAGTGGTTTTATGAGAAACTTTTTCGTAAACTTTTTTCATAGATGTTTTTGAGTTTTCTTTATAGAGATTTTGTTGAAACATCTAAAACCTTTTCTTTTGATATATAACTGAATAAAGCGTTGATTTCTTTATCGATTAGTATAAGTTTGATCAAATTTATGTCGAGTCAGAGCTCGAAACGAACCGTCATTTTCGAGTTCGGGTTCGGTTCGATTCGAGATCAGTTTCAACAATTTGGTTCGAGTTCGGCTCGGTTCGTTTTCGAGCTCTGTATCGAATCTTTCAAGTGAATTTTTGCATTTTTGCGAAAATTCATATAAACTTGATTTTTTATAAGCACGAAAGTGGCTCAAATTTTCAGAATAAAACCCAATTTTCTCCTTAAATTCAAATTAATTTTGTTTCATATTTTCTAGACATTTAAGTTCGACGAACTCTTCCCTCTAAAGCAATTTGCATCATGAATGAGTATAGTCTCATTGGAATATAGACCTGTAAAAAGTTTCGTTTCAACGGTCTTCGAAATTTATCAAATTTCTGGAGAAGATGCTCAGTAAACAAAATGAAGACTACACGCAGAAAAATGATGTATCGTATGCATGTGTCACAGACTCCAGCATGAAAATGTGTCGTATTTTGAGTTGTGTCGTAGCTACTTTACCCAGCACATATTCACCGTTTTGTTTTACTGGTGGAAGCAAAATATAAGCTACACAGTCAAATACATTACACTTACACTTTTTTAGACGTCTTGTTTCTATATAACTTCTCGAACAGTAATCGATAGAGAAAATGTTAAGGGGTTGACATCAAGTCTCTTGAGATCTTGATCGTCTTGGTTTTGAAAAACGAGCATAAAGAATGAGGATGTAGTTAATTTAGATTTAATTGAAAGATGGCGCTGATTCACGTCAAAGTGAACGACAGAATAAAAAGCGACCGAGATCAGGCTCAAACTATATTTGCGAATGTGTTGCATCCACTGCTGGAAAAATGTGCCGTCATCTAATTTCTGTGTCGGATCGAAATGCGATGCACCATGTGTTGTGAAACACGACACATGTGTCACATTTTTTTATCTGTATGCATATGGTTCGGTAGAGTAAGTGATGCTCTATCCAATGATATCAAAATAAGAATCCTCCGGTGCTTTCTATAATACAGCAGACTAAACAAAACTGTAAAAAATAACGTAATCAAGCTGTACGTGTTTGTTTGTTCGACTATCCATCTCTCTCTGAGAGAACATTCTTTTCTCGATCAAAAAAATAAGTTTGTCAATTTTGAGTTTTTCATCGCTACCCATGCATTTCATGTAACGATGGAATAGTGTAGATAGCGCGTTTAGTTTCAATATTATCTAAACTTCCCAATCGGTCACATTCAACGATCAACAACGATGAGGAATCGTTGCAACTTCTGCCACATGGTGACACCGTTTAATTTCCAACGTGTTTAAACGGCACCCAATCGTTTCTGATCGTTGAACGTGACCGATTTGAAAGTTTAAACAGTTGTTAGACAACCATTTCTACAAAGACTTCATACTGTATCTAAATGATAACACACTGTATGTTTTACACGTGTAGTCATTTTTTACACATTCCTTCCTGTTCGTTGATTGTCTTTCCTAATAGTTTTGTCCTCTCGGACACTCTTTCCATGAGCATTGATTGTACACCGCACTGCAGGCTATAGAAGCAAATTTTTTCTAAGCTTTTATAGCGTGCAAGTAGCCTAAGCTCTATTAAAATTCTATTTATTATGTTCGCAAGATTTTTGGAAGTAATTCTGAAGGGGCTATTTCTTAGAACTGTAATCTGTTTTCATGCGAATCATGAGGAAAATCTGGAATGTCCGAAACAAAATAAACAGAATATCCATGAAACTTATGCAA